GTCTTTGTATTTGAAATTTTTGAGTTTCCCCCAAAATCCCCCATTTTAGGGATGTACACCAAGTGACGGTTATGCCCAAAAAGCACTTCATAACATGTCATAAAGGTGTGCCGAGTTTATTTTTTCTAGTATGGGCTGTTAAAAAAATAACAGGGGGTCTCCACACTCTTTACTAACCCTGTATAGTGAATACACCAACATCGAAAGGTTATACAGATAAATCCGGTTGAGCCCTTGTACACCCTACAATGCAACAAGGAGAACGATCATTTGTATTTTCACTCAAATACTCAGCCGAAGGATGTTACAATAACTTTCTAAACCGGTCGGTCTATTTTTACCCGTGAGGAAGAGCAAAAAGAAAAAAGTAGTTCCATACTGATTCCTGTTACATCAATAAACAATGAGGATTGGGTGAGAGATGACCGCGTTACTTTCCTCTACGACCTTGATATCATGTAATCTCTAACCATCACCTGGTAGAGGTCTCAACGCCGCGCCGCCGCCGCAGCTAGTTTACATAACCTACCCGAGAATTGCGCCTCATTTACCTAATGGACAATTGAAAACTGCCCTAATAAGGGTCCGTGTCCAGTAACTTCGATTGAAGAGATGTATGGGCTGTAGCCACTCAATTTACACAATTATGCTTCCTGATTTATAATCTATAGAAAGTGACGTTATTGGGAGGTTTGACTTGATTGTATCACTACATTTCCATATATTCGTCCAGTCTGAAGAATTATCACATATGAATCTGAAAAGTCCAGACTGTCTTACCACATATTAAGGAGGGGGCATTATACTCTCAATCTATGATCTTACATATGAATCTAGCAATGTATGCAATATTTTTATGAAATGTAACATCCTTGGAGGCTAGCGGCCATCTTGGATAAATTCAAACAGCTAAGTATACTGTGAGATTAGAAATTTGCTTTTAAATGGTTTTGTGAGTTAGAACGTATAGGCTCTAAGGAATCAGGTTTAGACATATGTTATTATTGTCTTCAGCTTTGTAGTGAATTGGATCAGCTGCAAGTGGATGGGCTACGATCTACCGAAATGATGGAATCTGCTTTTATAAATAAAAGCAATTTTTTGATTGACCTACACATTATATTTAAATATTTGAAATTTTCTTTATTAATTTTCTTCAATAGTGCACATGTGTGTTTTAAAGAGAAACACATAAAGTTATGTTTTTTATATTAAAAGCCTAATATTGTGAGATCAAACGGATTGCAAATTTGATGAAAATATATCCATGAGCAAATTTTTCTAAAGCATTTAATTTACTCTCCATAAGAGTTTAAATGGGACGCAATGTATTGTATTTGGCACTTTGCATATCTTGGTACCGGTACGTATTGATGAAGTTCAAAATTGTTTGACTGTTAAATAATTGGATTTAAGACGTATTCACAATAAACTCCCAATAACACTAAAGCTCATAGATAACTATGAAACAACGCATATAAGTTGATTGCCAATGAAATAAAGAATACAAGGATAGTGAGCTTGTTTCAACGTTAAACCACGCCTAGTGTACGTTATTTGTGTTTTTTTTTTTACCCTGTACAACAGATGCATAGCAATATTCGTGTTATGATCTATGTTATATTGTAATGCACCTGTATCGAGTTAAATAATTCTCTCTGTATGGACTAATTAAAAACATAATGTAGAATAAGAATCTTAACAGCTATTACTCTAATAGGGGTTATTAAGAATTTGAATCATTAGGGTTCTTTTCAGTTTATATAACTAATGATTTTAGTTAATTAGACTCTCTAACCATGAGATTACCAATTTTAATTGCTTATAAGGGTCCAACTAATTCAGACTATAGAACTATTTACTCTCTTCGCAAAAAGGATTTCTCATCACACTACGATGTTTTCAGCCGTTTTACAATTGTTTATTGGAGACCGGAAGCTACATATTGCTGTCTATGTCTATGCCAGCTGTCATCGTTATTTGGGGGCCTAGCAGGTTTTTTACATCCCTAGGGCCAAAAATCGGCTGTTCGCTTACTTACTTAAAACATTAATGCATATACAATCAGTATTCATAGCATTGAAATAGACTGAGATTGAAATAGATTTTCACCGCTGACTAGCAACTATTTTTTTTCACCACACTATAATGTTTTTAGCTGTTTTACATACATTAATTGGTGGCTGAAAGTTACGTTTTGCTGACCATGCCAGCTGTCATCGTCATTTGGGGACCGAGCAGGTTTTTACATCCCTAGGGTCACAAAATCAGCTGTTCACTTACTTTCTTTAAAAATGAATGCCTATTAAATACACAATCAGTATCCATAGCATTGAAATAGAATTGTTTTATTTTGTCACCACTGCCGAGAAACTATATATTATTATTTTTGCTGATTCCTCAAATTGTTTCTTCACATAACCTTTAAGTTGTAGTTGTGTCGACTATCAGTCTGCATTATTATTGTAGTGAATAGTGATAATAGGTAGGTTTATAGAGTGGTGAAAAATAGCGTTCGTCTGATTCCTCAAATTATTTCTTAACATAACCTTAAGTTGTTCAGACTGTGTGCATTATTTTTGTTGTGATTAGTGGTAATAGGGTATAGTGTGGTGAAAAGTAGTGATCGTACCACGGACCGAAATGGTTTTGCAGCTCTCGAACGCTTTAAGTTCGAGACGAAGAGGAGAACTTAAAAACTATCTCGAGACGGTTTTCGGCCCTAGGTACGAAATATACTATTTCATTTTTATGATAAAACGAGGAGAGATGAAAGTTCATATTTAGAATTTCTTTCACTAACTCTGCTTTCGTTGAACAATTAATACCACGGAGATGACGTAGCATTGACGGCGCAACTGTGGCTGCTGTCGTTAGCAAAGCATCGACCACTTTCACCCGGAGGCAAAGTAGCATAATATGTGAGTCCATACAGCTTCCGTCACGCCCAGGTAGTTAAAGTGGTCTAGTAAAAATTAATACCTCAGTAAAAGCAAGAATACCTCAAACTCAGAAAATATTGTACTTTGTGTTATATGCTTGGTTTTGTATAATTTGTTAATTAGAATGGAAACTACATAATTTTTCGCCTAAATTGGAGATCTCAAGTGGTAATACTCGTAAAATGGCGAAAAATGTATTGTAAGCCTACTGAAGTAGATAATCCTATATTTTTCAACTATCAGACCAAGTTATACCTAATCTGTTTTAATATTTCCATACAAAGGTGGCTACACCATTAGATTTTTATACTACTAGCCTGTTCATTTGTCAAGTTCAATTGTTTTAGATCATACAGTCAAATGCTTGGTAAAACTTTCTCGAATACTACAATGCATATTGAAATTTCAAGCACTGCAATAAACCTGCAGCTATATTCCATTCGCTTCATATATCTCATAATTAATTAATTAATCTTTCTTTACTTTGTCTTGACCTACTCGTAACACGGCGTCATATATTTATCCTAGTCAAAACAGGGACGACCTACCCATCGCACCAATTGTACAATATTGTACCAACTGTAGGCTACTGGATTGTTGTCATAATCATAAATTAGGACAACTTACTGTTGAAGTAAGGCACGAGGCACATTTAAATTTCATATTGCACAGACTTTTATGGATTTTATAATATTTATGCACATACATTTAAATTTCCAATTCTATGTCGTTCTCAGTGTTTAGTATTCTCAAAAAAATACTTGCAACACTGTGCGATTTTTTAAATCGTATGGCAGATCCTACGTTTAGTGATACGACAGCTTTATAACATAAGCCTACAGAAAGTCAGTGAGAAACTTTTACAAAAATTGTTTTTCAATATCTACAGTGATGTTTTAATTTACGAAGAAATTACCATAACAATAAAATTACCTAAGAACACGAGAAGTAAGAGCTCGGCATATTCCAAGTGTGTTTGGTTGGTTCTGATAATTTAACAAATAACTATTTCCATTTCCTTTGGTTGTATAACCAAACAATGAGTAAGTTTATTTGTTTATTGACTTTTACGTCAGTGGATTAACTAAGGCGTCGCCAGCAAAGTTTTATTTCACGCCACTGCTCTGAATAAATAGACTTATGACGTATTTATAGTCAAACTGTGCCTAAATCTGTTTATAAATACTAAGATAAATTCTTTGATTATAAATCCAAGCAAATTTAACATGATAAGCCAAGTACATTGTCTTAATGAGTGAGTCATAGTAAACGACCTTTTTTACAAGGACCAGTGATGGCATTTTCATTATGCATCGATATGACAGTTAAATTATTATATTTGTTGATTTAACATTACAGTATTACATTGTATTAAATAATAACATTCAAATTATAACTAAAATGAAAAAATATTATATATACCAAGCTGCGTTTAAGATTGTCTAAGAGAGTTGACAGTAAAAGCGACACACTACACTACAAGTAGTCTCCTCAGTTCATTCATCTCTTGCCTTGTATTAGGCATAAAACACATAGCCAACTAGCATCTCTGTGTCAATAATGAAGTAACAATGAAAAACTTTAAAGAGATCCACAATCGGCCTAAACATGTCGTTATCGTTTAAGTCATAGCTGTGTGCTGTTTATACTAACAGTTGTATCTATCATTACATTTTTATTCACTTTACAGTTCGGTTTATAATCTATCGTCATATCTTCTAGATTTTATATATTAATCAAAATAGCATTGTTAAAATATGGTGTTTTCGTCGTTATGATTTGTCAACATACTTTATCAAGTAAAATCGCTCCAGTTGTTATGCTAAGGAGGCTTTATCTTTGATTCCATACAAACTTTTTCTCGCTTTATTTATCTTTGGAAGTATTTAGCAACTCTTCGGGATTGTATATGGAATTGAAAGGTACAGTAAACCACATATACTTTATCTCCACATTCTTACCCTTAAGATTCGCACATTTCGGAAGGTTTTTAGCCACTTTTGTAAACTACCACATATCTCCACACACTACTATTTATCACGTGTAACCTAGACCTACCTGCATTATCCTGTCCTCCTCTCTCACTCTACAGTACACAGCCACCGCACTATCACCGACTGCCGGCGCCCCGTCACACACACTTTCTTATACTCTCTCCCCACCAACCGCCAAAACACACACCAAAATACCAAATTATATGTGCAGTTCATGAATTGATAATAGTTTTTCGCTAGAGTTGGGACATAAGTGATGAGTAGTTTGTAACAGCTTGTAGTGGATGTCGTGGTTCGCGTAGGCTTATATTAAACATGAGATATGATGTATCTATTAACTAGGAGCACAGTGCAGTTGTCTGTTTGTAATGTTGAGGGAAGCATGCATAATGATACAATAATTTTGGGTAATGTAAAATTATGAGTTGGTTGTTCCTAATGTGCTCGGATTTACATAAATGGGATGTCTACTTGCACTACCCAAAGTCAATAGAGTGTTTACTTGCAGTAACTAAAGCCAATGCTGCAACTGGTTCACGTAAATTAGTTGTCTACATGCAGTTTTCAAAGCTAGTAGTAAATGAATGAATGAATGAATGAATATATAGTTTATTCCAAAAAACATTGGCTACAAACAGTGATTATAAAATCAAATATACTTAACAGAGACTTATGACACTAAAAATAGTAAAATACATACAAGTTTTAATGAGCCAAAATATTCAACAATAGACAAATGGAACTAGCAGACATAGGCAGTGCTACCTGTGCGTCTGCTAAGTTGCTGTCAAATAGAAAAAAAGTAATTATTGAATTTGTGGAATGTCAATTAAAAATAAAAGGGTTGTTATTATTAGTGATGTATGTAAACGTATTTTCATGAACACAGCGCTGGTGAGTCTGCGCATTAGATTTCGTGGTGGCCAGGAGAGAGAGAGAGAGAGAGAAATCTGGCTCATGTTAATGGGATGTTTACTTGTGGTATTCAAATTCAATAATACATGTTGTTTAAATAAATGGAATAACTTATTTCAATATCTAAAGTCAATGGTGCAAAGCTCAAATTTATTTGTTATTTTCTAGTATTTTATGCACAACGGTATTAAACCGATTGTCCTTTCCTTTTGTTCTGTTTTGCAATATTATGCTTGTATAAACTGCTTTTGACAGACATATGTTAAGACTCTTTTGTTTTTATCTTGCAAAAACAATCATAGTGACCAATTAACCCATAAGGCCCATGTTAAATTTTTAAACGTATCAATTCACGTAAGAAAAAGCCCTGTTGTTCGATTTGTACCATTTCAGATTTATACATAGTCGGTTCCTAGTTACTATGACTGTAACAGTGGCTTGTCCTGTGGTGTAATTAGAAAATAAAAAGAGTTTAAACTGTAAAATATACTCTTCTATAGGAGAAACACATTTAGCCGATAACAAACGTAAATGTTTAGTTCCGGGTTTTTGGAACACACATAAACATAGAGTGGCAAAATTGCAAATAACGGTATTCCATGGACTTGTATAGGATTATAATAGAATGAGAAATCTATTGCAATGTTCCAAAGTCAATGGTATAATTTTCAGGAAAACGTTGATATTAATGGCACACTACCAGTAGGACAGCTGTTAGGGTTAAAACGAAATTTAAAATTATTGAATGTTATCAAAACGATACTCTTGAGAAAAAGAAACATACCCTCGCCACAGCAAATCTCCAGACTAAGAGAATTTTCATTTGCCTGATTTGATTTTCACTTAAATGTATTAAAATGTTTAACGAGTACCTAGGTTAACTGCATCAGGGAGGCTAATGAAGTGTGATTTTTGGTAAAATGTTAATAGCTTAGTTTAAAATAAATAAATTTGTCAAGTTCAATCAAAACATATCCATAAGCAAGGATACTACTAGATGGCGTTCGCAGACGCGTCCACAAAATTGAGCGGAGTCATCAGAAGCCATTGACCCTCATCAAGCTTCAAAATCATTTTACCTAGAATTTCAGATATAGAAAAAATTTTTAGGAATAGATGGTGAATAAAATAGTTACAAAACTATTTCCCAGTGAAAAGAAACAATTTGTCAAAAATACAGAGGTGTTATTATATGGATTTTTGAGACCTGAATTTACATTTTAAGCTTAAAACCTCTGGGGTGGTATATTTAATTTCATTTTAAAACAGGGTGGTACAGAAAAGGTGTGGTGATTACATTCAAACAGTTTTGGCTTCTACCAATTTTGCTCAATTAGTTAAACAACAGATCAGCTTGTTCCTAGAATTCGAATAATAATTTATTATACAACGTTGAATCCATATACCGCAAAATAAAATTATCGAACTACTTATCTAGTTGCCGTTAAACTTTGGTGATCGAAGGGGTCGCCGGAATTTTATCCCCCTGGAATTTTACCCCCTGGGCAAAGCTGACGTCACTATGACGTAGTAACCTGAGTGGCCAAAAGTTTGTTCGCGGCCGGAATTTTACCCCCGCGGATTTGGAAGTCTAATGAAAATAGTCAGAGCGTGATTAATTAGATTAGCGATACAAACCGGAATTTTACCCCCTGTCCATATAACTAGCGTTTAGGCAACTGAAGATGTACGGGCCGGATTTTTACCCCCGGAATTTTACCCCCCGGAATTTTACCCCCTGGCTGATTTTAGAAATTGAATGATTGATTTTCTTATTTCTGTTTTTAATTAATTGTAAACATTTCATTATTTAGTAGCCTATCTTTATTTATTTATTTTGTAATCTCAACTAAGTAAACAGAATTCGCTGTTTTATTTTGATCATATTAACCAACAGTTAGCTTCAAAGATCGAATCCTGACACTCGAATCTCAAAATTAATATTAAAACCCTGTTCGATTAGTTAATGTTACATATAAATTAAGATAGGCTACTTAATAATAAAATGTTTACCATTAAATTAAAACTGAATGACGATAATTAATCATTCTCACTAATTTATATCTGGCCAGGGGGTAAAATCCCGGGGGGTAAAATTCCGGGGGGTAAAATTCCGGGGGTAAAATTCCGGGGGTAAAAATCCGGGCCGTACATTCTAGGTTTTTATAATTTGATGTGTTCTGATTAAACTCACAACCGTGAAAATATATGTTTAATTCCGCGTTTAATCCATCGAGCTGATGTCGCGAAACTCAAAAGTTCGCGGCCGGAATTTTACCCCCTGGTTTGTGACGTCACGTTTGCCCAGGGGGTAAAATTCCAGGGGGATAAAAATCCGCTACCCCGATCGAAGAATTACTTTTAAAGGTATAGAAGAGCCCCATATAAGCGAGTAGATATAGAAGAGTACGGCTAAAAATCGTACGGGTAATTTATTGTTAGTAGTGTAAAGAAGGGCATGAGAGCTTTCACACTACACGGTTACGGCAATGACAGAAAACCGTGTCGTCTTGCAGCCGTCCACTGCAACTGAACCGGACGGTTGTCGCGCCGTGGCCGTGCGAGAGGCGCGTGCAGCCGGGGCCGGGGATAGTAGCTAGTTGCCATTACAAACTGCACGGTTTTTAATTGAACTGGAGCCTTTTCCATTAGCACTGGAGCCCACCAGCCAGAGCAAAAAGCTTTAGCTGTTCCACTGTTTTTAGTTTACAATCTCACCTGTCAATTGACACTGTTTATGTTTATTGTGATCTTGTATACACATTTATCTCGCCGCACAGTCAGAAACCTTGTAATGTGAAAGAAACAAAGACACATCTTAAAATCGTAGGCCTACTGTTTTCAAACGGACGGCAAACCCCGTATAGCGTGAAAGGAGCCTTAAGCTTATGACAATTAGTTTATTTATTGATTTTCATGTAAACATATAGGTTTTAGCAAATTACATACCTACGTAAAAATAGCAGTTCAAGTTAAAGGTTATGTTCATTATGTAGTAAACACGCACTACAAGCTAAAACTAGCAAAAATAGTAAATAATGTATATATTCAAAATTGTTTGTTGACCGGTCGATTTCAATAATAGAAATCAATAATCTATATCTATAAAAGAGGAACTATGTATGTATATATATGTGTATGTACGTTATGGACTCCGAAACCGCTCGACAGATTGTAATGAAACTTTCAGGCATTATTAAGCATCTTTCAAGGATGGTTCGAGTGAAGTTTGGTGCAGATCCGTCAAAAGGGCTCTGCCCCAGAGGGTTTTAAGTGGGCCAATGTCAGACTTTTTGATCCAGAATGTTTACAAATAAATATAATTTAAAAGCAGATGTTTACTTTCACCAACTGTTTTGTACGTTTGAATAACTACAACATTCTGTATTAGCATTAGTCATGACTAGTGTACATGTTGCTCGAATTAGAGCAATTGCAAAGTATTCTAGGAGTTATTTCAAAACGAATAACAGTCATATTTGAAATAAGTTTAAAAGAGTCAACTCAAAGATTACCGGTGTGTAACTCAGACCATGTTTATCTTCGTTATTGATAAAAAAGCATTCCGGCCGGTTTTCTCCTTCTCTAAATGCCTCGCTGTACAGGCAATACAGGTCATTGATAGAGGGCCAATTAAGAACGAAAAGTCGTTTTGGGGTAGTGTTAGGGCGCATTTGTAACCTAATAGTTGAGATTGTCCAGGGTCAGGTGCTGACTGATTAGTTAAGCCTATTTTACGCGCCACTGTTCTGCTGCGGTCGTTATCACGATTACGCCTCCTGTCTATGTTTCGTTTTCGTCGCGTTGGAGGCATTTAAAGAAAAAACAACAAATAAACAAATTATAGGTACACAAAACAACAATAAATGCACAAATTTAAGTTAGAATCATGCTAACACGATCCGTCATAGCGACACAAAACAACGATAAATACACCAATTTTAGATACAACCATACTAACACGATCCGTCTTGGGGTTATGTTTACACAAACTCGAATCTATATCTATAAAAGAGGAACTATGTATGTATGTATGTCACGTGTGGCAGGCAAATGGAGAACTGGCTGAGGGTCAAAGTAAAAACATAGACTTACCAACACAAGTAGACTTCTCATCCCATTTAAAATTTTGAAGCTCGTTTTTCATGTCTAGTTCATGTACGCCACACTGGGCGCTAGTGTCGACG